ACCTAAGGGAACTGAGTCAGCCTCTGGCGGCTCGCAGTCAGAGGCGTCAAACGAATCAGAGCCTGCCATTGGCGGCTCCGTGGTCAAGGAAAAGGGCGCGCCCCGACGTGGGCTCGGGGGCGAGCCCGCCGTTGGCGGGCCAGCGCGCAGGGATGAGGGCGCACCCCGACGCGGGCATGTGGACGAGTATTCGTACTCCGAAGGCCCCGAAGAAACGCAGCGCGAGGTTCGCTCTCAGATGGAGCGGGCACCCAGCGAGTCCGCCAGCGATGAGTCCACGCCGCAATGCCGCAAGCGCAGGTGCTCCCCTGGGCACCCCAAGCGCTTGCGCGAGCCGCTGCCATTGCCAAGGGGCGAGAGCGCCGAATGCCCAGACGCACAAGGAGAAACAAAACGGGTGCCAGAGCACATCGGCGCAAGGCATCGCCGACGTCTGCCGTTGGCGGCGCGCGGCCTGCCGCCACCGCCGCGCCTGGGCGCGCCCGCGAGAGGAAGTCCAGGGGCCGACGCAGACGCCAGAGTCCGCGTCGCAAGGAGCTCTCAGGCAAGCGGTCCAAACATGACGGGCGCCGATCGGCGGCGCGCAAGTCCCCCGACGGCGCGGCGCCCGCCGAGACGCACCAGGCCAGCCGCGACGCCGCGCCGCCCCCGCCGCCTGCGCCTCCGCCGCCGCCGGCCCGTGGCCAAGGCGTCTCAGCCATCATGACCGACGTCGGGGAGTTAGCGTTCCAGGCTGGGGCCATGAAGGACGACGGGGTTTCAATGGGCCTCCCGGTGCGCAAGATAAATTTTGGGGGGGAACAAGGTCGGGCGGGGGGGGGGGGTGGGGCGGGGGCCCCGCCGATCCGAACGGGGCAATGACAGAATTGTAGACGGGCGGGTTGGACGGGGGGCTTGCGTGATGTTTCTACAGACAGGGGGCGCATTCCATCCTTCTGATCAGGAGAGGATCGCAGCGCTGCACCAGCGGGCCATGGGCTATTACGCCGCGTTGCAGGCCAGCGACGAGGGCGCGAGGCTGTGCCAGGGCAACGCGGTCGTCGTCCACAGGCCAAGCGTTGATGGCAGGACCCATCAGAAGCACGCGAGCCCGAAGCAGGCGGTGCTGGGTCTCTGCCGTTCGTTCGAGGGGGAGCAGCGTGCTGTGCCTGCCATTGGCGGTTGCGCGTATTGGCGCTTCCAGGACGAGCCGCCGCCGACGAGGGCGTGCCATCCTCAGTTAACGCCTACCTACGATTTCTTCCTGCGCGCGCGCTTTCCCGTGCTGGGCGATTTGGAGTGGCCGCCGCCGCAGGTGGCGGGCGAACGATCCATGCCCGCGGTTGGCTCCGCCACGTCAACCCTTATCGTGCCAGACTGGTGGTGCCCTCAAAGGTCTTGGATTCTGCAAGCCGTCGTCGCATCCCTTCCAGAATTGTTGTGGAAATTTCGTAATTCGGCCAGCGCTGACGAAGTGCTGCAGATTTGGGCGACCTCTTGCACGGTCGCCCGCAAGAAATAGGCGCGCCCGTTTCTTGCAGAGCTTCCCTGGGCGCGCCCGCGCGCAGGTGTGCTCCAGTGTTTGCTTTGCGATGGACCGGGGCCAGTCCGACATCAGGGAGTTCCTTCCTGACCTTCGCGCTGTGTGCTCTTGCCGTTGGCAGAGCGCGCCGTGGCGGAGCGCGCCGCGGTCGTCCGCGGGAATTAAACGCCCGCCCTCCGCTCTTGCCGTTGGCAGAGCGCGCTTCCGCCCCTCATTCGGGCCGACATTCGGGCTACCCTCCGCTCTTGCCGTTGGCAGAGCGCGCCTCGGCGCCTTTAAAGCGGCCGTTCGTCCCTTTTTATATCCCCCCTCCATCCTTGTTTCTCCTGATCCCCCCCTCCCAGCCCCAAGAAGAATTCCCTCGATTGGGGGGGTCCTGTCGAGACGTTCATCGACTTATAAATTGAATTGTTTTACCTGCCTTGTAATCTTCCCGGAAGCTTGGCTGGCAGCAGCCCACAGGAAAAAATGGTCCCTCCCTCCCGCCCTCCACCCTCCATCCTCCTTTTCAGCGGTCGCCCCCTCCCCCCTTCCCCCTTCTCCTAATCCCCCCTCCCTCTCCCCCTTTCCCCCATCCAAACCTCCCGCCCCCTCCGCCATCCCCCCCCCCTGGCCCACCCCTCCAGAGCAAACAGATAAGCTGCCACCTATGTGTCCACATTTGTGCCGTTCTCGTGGTGTTCGCAGGCGATGTTTCACTGCGGTGCTCGGAGGCTTCTGTGGTGTTCGCACGCTACCGGGGCGTTCGAAGGCTATTGCGGGTTCGCGGGCTTATACGTTCCCCGTGCTCGTAAGCATTTCACGACGCTCGCGGGTACCCACAGCACCTGCAGGGTCCAGCGTGCTCTTGCGCACGCGCGCGGAGGTCGCATGGTAGGCACCGACTCGCGCAGTGGTGGCTTCTGAGGCTCGTTTCGGTGGTCTGCGTTTGAGCCATGATGCTTATTATTTGGTGGCGCAAATCAAATTCCTCCTCATTCCAACTCCTCCTCCTCCTCCATCCCCTTCTGGGCTTCCCATTGGGGCCCCTCGCCGCCGCCATTTTCGTGCGCTTGTGTGGTGGTCAGCGGGCGCCGCCGTCGCCATCTTCGAGGGGTCCCGATTGGCTCTCGGGGCTCCTCTCTTGCTGGGTCCCGAGCGCCCCGCCTTGGGCCCCGCCCCTCAAGGCGCCTCCTTTGGGGCCCCCCCCTGAGGCCCATCGCCGCGCCGTCATCGCCGATGCAGGGCCGCAGTTTTCGTCAACACAGACGTCGTTGTCGTTTTTCACGTGAGGCCCCGTTTGGCTCTCGGGGCTCTTCTCTTGCTGGGCCCCGAGCGCCCCGCCTTGGGCCCCGCCCCTCAACGCGCCTCCCTTGGGAACCCCCCATTGAGGCCCATCGCCGCCGTCATCGCCGATGCAGGGCCGCAGTTTTCGTCAACACAGACGTCGTTGTCGTTTTTCACGTGAGGCCCCGTTTGGCTCTCGGGGCTCTTCTCTTGCTGGGCCCCGAGCGCCCCGCCTTGGGCCCCGCCCCTCAACGCGCCTCCCTTGGGAACCCCCCATTGAGGCCCATCGCCGCCGTCATCGCCGATGCAGGGCCGCAGTTTTCGTCAACACAGACGTCGTTGTCGTTTTTCACGTGAGGCCCCGTTTGGCTCTCGGGGCTCTTCTCTTGCTGGGCCCCGAGCGCCCCGCCTTGGTAGGCGCCCCCCCGCAGCGGCGCTGGCCCCGGCGGCGGCCTCGCCGCCGGCCCCGCAGGGCGTTTTCCGGGGGTGCGGGCCGCCGCCACCGTCGCCGTCGCCGCCGCCTGCTGGGGCCCTCGTCCGTGGCGGAGGGCGCGAACGTAAGGGCCGGAGGAGGAGGAGGAGGGGGAAGGGGAAGAGGGGGAGACGGGGGGGATGGGGGAGGATGGGAGAGGGGGAGTAGGAAGGCCAGGGGGGAAGAGGAGAGGAGGAGGAGGTGGGGGAGGAAGAGGAGGAGGGGAGAAGAGTAGGAGGAGGAGGGTCACATTTATGCGGGCGCGAAGTGTGCAATTCTGCGCCCCCGCATGGCATCAGGGGTGGGGGGAGCGGAGGAGAGGAGGGGAGGAGGAGGAGGAGGAGGAGGAGGAGGAGGCAGAGGAGGAGGAGGAGAAGGAGGAGGAGAGGAGGAGGAGGAGGAGGAGAGGAGGAGGGAGGAGGAGGAGGAGGCAGAGGAGGAGGGAGGGGGAGGAGAGAGGAGGAGGAGGAGGAGGAGGGGATGGGGAGGAGGAGGAGGGGAGAGGAGGAGGGGAGGAGGAGGAGGAGGAGATGAGGAGGAGGAGGAGGAGAGGAGGAGGAGGAGGAGGAGGAGGAGGGAGGAGGAGGAGGAGGGGAGGAGGAGGAGGAGGAGGAGGAAGAGGTCAGGAGGAGGAGGAGGAGGGGGGGGAGGAGGAGGGGAGAGGGGGGGCGAGGAGGAGGAGGAGGAGGAGGATGAGGAGGAGGAGGAGGGGAGGAGGAGGAGGAGGGAGGAGGAGGCGGAGGAGGAGGAGGAGGGGAGGGATGAGGAGGAGGAGGAGGAGGAGGAGGAGGAGGAGGAGGAGGAGAGGGGGAAATCTGCGCAAGCGCGCCCGCGTAAATGTGACCCCCAGCGGTGCGCGCGTCTGTCCAAGAGGGCTTCAGAATTGTCCGAGCGGGGAAACGAGGGAATAGAGCACGTCGCGCTGCCCAGACCTCCGACGTCGCAATTTTTTGGCGACGTGGGCCCCCAGAGGTCTGGAATGTGGACCCCTTCCCCAGGACCGGTTTTTCGCCCTGAATATTTTTTTGACGGTCCCGGGGCCGGGAAACCGTACCCTTCTGTATTGCTGTCGGAATCCTCGGGGACCTCGGTATTGTTATCATTCGCGATCCTTTTCCTCATTACGCTGCTCCTCCTCCTGCTCCTCCTCGTGATCATCATCCCCCCCTCCTCCTCGTACTCCCCTCCTCCTGCGTATCCTCCTCCTCCTCCTCCTCCTCCCCCTCCTCCTCCTCCCCCTCCGCCTCCTACTGTTCAGAGCCCTCGCATGCGTAGTAGCTCCTCCTCTTCCTCCTCCTCCTGGCCTCGTCAGCCTCCTTCCACGCTGGAGGCTGCTAAGCCCCCTAAGGCCGCAATCCACTCCAATCGCTCCCTGGGGGCCTCTGTTTGAGGCCCTCGGTGGCCTCTTGGGGGCATCTTTGGGCGGGGGAGGCGGGGGTGCTCGATTGAGGACTGCGGCTGACAGCCCAGGATTATGCAAAGGACCTGAGGACGCACCAACACCGCGCCGAAGGGTCCACGGCCTCACAGGGGCCAAGGGGTTCAACAATCTTTTCAAAGGCTTCCGACTCATCCGCAAGACCCACCCTGCGCCGCGGACGGATGCCCCAAGAGGCCCCAGGAGGGGGCCCCAAGGGCAGCCCCCAAGAGCCGTCCGTGGCGGAGGGTCTCCCGTGGCCAAGCGCGCGCCGTGCCGGCCGTGCCAACCGTAGCCATTGTGGTTCGAGGCTCGCGCGTTGAATGCCGCGCCCTCACGGCGCCGCGGCGTGTTGGCCGGCCAGGCGCTGCATCAAGTGCAGGGGCGTCGAGGAATTGTGTGGAAGATCCCCTATGCAAATGAAAGACAGCATATTGAAATAAACCCCTGGGTGTTTCCACGAACCTCGTGGTGGGTGGGTTTCGTCGTCGCCGTCGTCGCGGGGGCCTCCGTCGTCGCCACCCTTGGACGCGGCTCGAAAAGTTGATGCGTTTGCGCCGTCGTCGTCGTCGTCGTCGTTGCGGGGGCCTCTCTCGTCGCCACCGTTGGACGCGGCTCGGAGAGTTGATGCGCTTGGACCGCGACTGGGGTTTATGTCAATGTGCAGCGTCTTTTAGTTTGGATGGGGTATCTTCCACCCAAAGGACGGTCGCCGAAGCCAGACTACCTGCTGCGAGGTCATCTTCGCCGGCGCCGGCGGCGAGGCTCCCAGCCAGTGCCCCGGCGTAGCTGCGCGATCGGATCCCTTGGGGGAACGCGATTGGGTTTGCGACGCATGCTGTGACCGCCGCCGGCGTGCCCCCGGCGAGCGCGACGACGCGAGCACCGCGGAGCTTGCGCGACGCGCTGATGATCGAGGGCATCACTACGACGTCGCCATCCCGCCCTTGGGCCGACCAGGCGGGGTCGTCCAGATGACCCTGCGCATGCTCCAGAAGGCCAAGGTGCCACGTCGTCGCATTTTTGTGTTCGTGGTCCAAGACGAGGCGAACGCCTGCGCGCGCTCCACAGGTTTTACTCGCTCGTCGTCCTGGGAGCGGGGGGCGAAGGACGGCAGCGGGAAAATCGTCGTGGGCGTGCGCGGCTTGGCGGAGCAGCGCCGGTTCATCGCAGATTTTTTCCCTTGCCACCGCCGCGTTGTGCAGATCCAAGACGACATCGAAGACATCGCGACTGCAACCGAGCATCGTGGAGCGGAAGCTGTGACGGATTTGCCGGCGATGTTCCGGTGGGCCGGCGCTTTCGCGGCTGGGCGCCGCGCCAGGGTATGGGGCCTGCAGCAGACGCACAACCCGTTTTACATGTCGGACACCGCCTCTATCGGATGCAAATTTTTTGGAGGGGACGCTGGTGGGCAGCCTCAATCGCCCCTGGGTCTTCGGCGAGGCTGGGGCGTGCTCCGACAGCGGCAACCGCGGCGAGGAGTGGGTGGAGCTGGAGGGCGTCCACATCAGCCGCCGGGCGTTCCGCCAAGATGGCGAGGTCCTGCGCCTGCGCAGTGCCGTCGTGAACTGGGGCAAGAACACGACCGGGGGGAACGACGGTGGCCCCGGGTCCGACGTGGTGGGTCGCAGCAAGAATCGCAGGATGGAGGGGCGCGCGATGTGCAGGCAGGAGGCGAGGCGGGTCCAGCCCCGCATCGAGATCAAGACAAAGCCAGCGAGCGCCGCGGAGGTCAAGAAAAAGCCTGCGAGTGCCGTGGGGTCAAGAAAAAGCCTGCGAGCCAGCAGCCGAGCCAGCAGCCGTTGCGCTTGATCAGGAAGGGCACCCACCCTGTGAATGTGCCTTGCTTTGCCTGGGCGTGACGCCGCGCTCGCCCGCCGCTGGCTGTCGCTGCGAAGTGCTGGCGCAGCCTCCCTTAGGTCGACGTGGAGGGTTTCCCCGGGGGGCTTAGGCGACCCTCTCCTCCTCCCCCCTTCCATTTTTCATCATTTTGTTTAGCAGATTTTTTCGTGATTTTATGTCCTCGATGTTTTTTTTCTCGATTGTGGCCTCTGGGGCCCGTTTTTTCCGGCCCCGGGACCATCAAAAACGAACCCGGGGTGAAAATCTGACCCCGGGGAACCCCCGTCGGGTCGCCTGCGACCCCGGGGGAAACCGTCCATGTCGATGGCGCTGATCGGTTCTGACATTCTTTATGCTTGCAAGGATATCGGGCGCTTGCTCGGGCGCCCAGCCGACGCGCAAAAAATGCGAAGGAAGTTTTACAGCGTCTTCGGCCTCGGGGGGCCGTTTCCTGGCCCCGGGGCCGTCGAACAACGATTCAGGCTGAACCGTCGGTCCCGGGGGAAGAGCCCAGACCTCTGGGTGCCGACGTTGCAAAAAAATGCATCGTCGGGCGTGAGGGAATGGCGCGCTGGACGGGGGGCCGCGGCGGCGGCGGCGGCCGCGGCGGCGGCGGCGGCCGCGGCGGCGGCGACGGCGACGACGACGACGGCGAAGACGACGACGACGACGACGACAAGGCGACGACGACGACGGCGGCGGCGGCGGCGGCGGCGTCGCCGGCAACGAGGATGGCGGCGACGGCGAAGACGACGACAACGACGACGACCAAGATGACGACGACAACTGATAAGACGACGGCGGCGGGGGCGGCGACGACGGGGGCGACGACGATGGCGGCGACGACGACCGCGACGGCGACGATGGTGAGCAAGTCAGCGGCCGGAGCTTTCGGCCTCATCCATCCTGCGGCGTCGTCGTCGACGTCGACGTCGACGGCGGCGGGGGGCGGGCGGCGGGTGGCGGGCGGGGGCCGCGGGCCCAAAATTAGCGATGGAAGGGGGTGATGGGGATCGTCAGTCAACCCACATCGGGGCGAGAAACTGTGCATTCGCGCCCGGGTAAATGTGACTTCGAGGTGTGCGCACCGCTGAGGGTCACATTTATTCGGGCGTGAATGTGCGTGTTTTTCGCGCCGCCGTCGGCGGGTGGCACATGGGCGTGGGAGTGGGTGGCGACAGAAGGGTTGGCCAGTCGTCGGCGTTGGTTTGCAACAACGGTGATGCATTGCAATTCGATCGGAGTCACGTCGGGGGCTTTTTGGGGGCCTCTTTGGCGTGAGGGGGGGGTTCTAGTCCCAGGGTCCAAAGTCGACTCCCGGGCCTGTCCCGGGGCGCGTTCTGATCAGAGCTTCTAGAAGGAATGTCAGCAATTTCTGTGCCAGTTCGCCGCCCCGTTCATCGCCCCCCGGTAAACTCCCGCCAGCGTGCCCGTGCTGCCGTGCCGCGCCAGTCGCGCCCTCCCCTCCGCAGGGGGCTGGGGGCCGTCTGGGCGCGCGGCCGTCGGCCCTCGGCTGCGGGGGTCGCGTGGCCCGAAGTCCGCTTCTGTGGCGCCCGTGGCCGCCTCCTCTTCCTCCTCTGCTCCCTTCTTTTTTTATCCAGCTGCCTGCGGCAAGTCCCGCCGCCGCGCCCGCCCAGCTGTCTCGGTGGTCTTTGCGCGAGGGATCACGGATGTCCTAACCTGTGACGCGTTGCATCTCCAGGCTTGATGATGTTGGTGATGGTGATGGCGTGGATGAGGCGGAGGGATGAAGAGGGGGAGAAGGAGGGGGGCGAGGGCGAGGACGAGGAGAGCCGCCACATGTGACACTTTCTCGTCTTGGGCCGTCTTAGGCCTCTTGGGGGTCTTTTGGGGCGTCTTGGGGCGTTTTGGCCGTGCCACCCATGTGTCCACATTTGGGTTGCCGCGCAAACAATCCGTTTGCGTGGACATGCGCGCCGTTCTAGCCTGTTAGCGGCGCAGACAGAAGGGGTCGGAGGCGCATCTCGCGGAGATGCGCCCCCGCACCCAGCTGTCGGTGCCATTTGCGCCCCGAAGCCTCGTGGCGGGCTTGCGAGCGCGTGTCTGTGCGCAGAGACGTACTCGACCTGCCAGCGGTGCAGACAGACGAGCCTGCGAGTCCGTGTGCGTGGAGGTCCGCGCCCTGCCAGCGGCGCAGACAGAAGGGGTCCGAGGCGCATCTCGCCGAGATGCGCCTCCAAACCCTCGAGCGGGTGCGGGGTGCGTTTCCCGTGGCCCGCGGGTGACTTCGAAATCAAAGAAAGCCCATCCCGGCGAGATGCGCCTCGACGGGATGGAGGCGCATCTCGGCGAGATGCGCCTCCGACCCCTTCTGTCTGCGCCGCTGGCAGGGCGCGGGCCTCCATGCGCGCGGACTCGCACTCGCAAGTCCGCCGTTGGACTATGCGCCTCCTTGAGCCAAAACGGCAGCGCAACATAGAAGAAGACCAGGCCATGCCAGACCAGACCATACCGAGAATTCCCACCGTCGTTCCTGGGATGTTTGTAACCTCGTCTTCTCGGGAACGGGGGTGGGGAAAAAAAAAAAAACGATTCCCACATCGGCTGAAGGGCGTCGTTTCCCCGCTTCCATTCCTGAGAAGACGAGGCTACAGACATTCCAGGAACAACGGTGGGAATTCTCGGTCTGGTCTGGTCTGCTCTGGTCTGGTCTGGTCTGGTCTGGTCTTCTTCTATGTTGCGTTGCCGTCTTAGCTCAAGGCGCACTCGGGCCTCCCACCCCAGACGCCACTGCGGGGCGCAAAATTTGTCATTCGCCCCCGCATGAATGTGACCCTCCTCTTCCTCCTCCTCCTTCTCCTCCTCCTTCTCCTCCTCCTTCCCTCCTCCCCCCCCTCCCCCTTCCCTTCTCCTCCTCCTCCCTTACTTCCTCCCCTCCCCTCCCTCTCTCCTCCTCCTCACCCCTCCTCCTCCCTTGTCCTCCCACCATTGATGTCGCGGGGCGCCAGAATTGCACACTCGCGCCCGCGTAAATGTGACCCTCCTCTCGCTCCTTCCTCCTCCTCCCTCCCCCTCCTTCCTCCTCCCCCCCCCCCTCTCCTCCCCCTCTCCTCTCTCCTCCCCCGCCTCATCTCCTCCTTCCTCCTCCTCCTCCCCTCCTCCTCCTCCTCCTCCTTCCTCTTTCCTCCTCCTTGCACCCCTGATGATGCGGGGCGCAGAATTGACTGCGCCCGCTCCTCCTCCTTCTCCTCTCCCCTCCTCTTCCCCCTCCCCCTTCTTCTCCTCGTCCTCCTCCTCCTCCCTCTCCTCCTCCTCCTCCTCCTCCTCCTCCTCCTCCTCTTCCTCCTCCTCCTCCTTGTCCCTGCGCCCCTGATGCCACTGCGGGTCGTTGCATTGTGCACTCGCGCCCGCATAAATGTGACCCCCCAGGGCCTTGCAGGGCTCTGCGCTGGGTGCCCCTGATGTTGCAATCAGGGGCACCCAGCGAGCCCCCGATGGGGCCCGCATGAGGCCCAGAAAGGGCGGCGCCAACGGCGAGGCAAGAGCGGGGCAAGAGCAGCAGAGCGAGGCAAGAGCGAGGCAAAAGCGGGGCAAGAGCGAGGCAAGAGCGAGGCAAGAGCAGCAATGCGAGGCGAGAACACAGCAGGGCGAGGCAAGAGGGTGCAAGAGCATAGCAAGGGCGAGGCGAGAGCGAGCAAGAGCGATGATGGCCTTTCAGGTCCAGCGCGTAGCTCCCGTGTGCTCGACGCGCGGGAGCGTGCGAGCGCGCGCCCCGGCGCCCCCCTGCCCGCTATGAAGAAAGGGCAGTCCGTCTGGTATTGGCCCCAATCGACAGGCAAGTATATTGCAACAAAGGTTGTTGAAGACGAGGACCCCGCGGGGGCCACCGTCCATCTCGAAGCTAAAGCGCGAGCGAAAGAGGAAACTGTTTTCACAGCGAAACCGGAGGGGCCGCCCGAACCCGTTGCCGTTGGCACTGGCGCGCCCCCCTCTGGCAAGCTCGCTGGCGACGGCGCGCAACAAGAAGATATGGTTGATATGGGCGCCGTGTCTTCGTGGATTCAGGAAGCGGCATCGCAGTTGCAGGAGATTAATGACGCAAAGGGAGCGAGCGGTAGCCCTTTGTGCGAGAAGCTCGTCGAATGGTTGGCCTCGCCTCGCACGGGCTGTCTGCGGAAAAAGAAAGGTTTGATGCCATGTGCGCCGTGGTGCCTTGGAAGCAGGTTGAGCACGGTTGCGCCAATTTTTTGCAAGCCGCCAGAACCGACAGGCAGGGCAAGGTACACGTAGCGATGCTGGCGTTCGCGCCTGCGAATTATTCCGCGTGCGGCCTCTACTTGTCCGACGCCATCGCTTTGCTCACCACGCAACCGCCTTTAACTTTGCTCGCTCGGCGCTTAGATCTAGCCCCAGTGAAACCGCAGAACTTGAAGATGTTTGGCTGGTAGGCAGATGGGGCGAATGTAAACTCAACTTGCGCCTTTCTGTTTACGTGCCTGGCCTTTTACGGCGCCGTGCGCGGCTCGATGCCTCATATTGTGCGCGACGCGCTCTCCGGGATCGGCGCGGTCTTCACCAAACACGCCGCGGCTGAGCCCCGCTTGTGCTCGAACCTTTCGGCGTCGCAGGCGCAAAAGTCAGCCAGCCGTTCGGTGTCAGACCCTATTTTTCTGAGCACGGAATTGCTCCGAAGCGGGCATCCCAAGCCCGAACGCGCGCGGGCCATCTTGAAGCTTTACGGCCAAAAAGCGTTGGTAAACCCTGCTCTGGCGATTAGCCGGACAGTCGAGGAAGTGGCGGTCCGATTCATGAGCGCCAGCGAAGTCCACGAAAGAAAAGATCTTGGAGGTTGTCTTGCGCGACGGGTGGGATGGGTGCCCTTTCACCGCGGGGTTGTTGAACTCCAAATACTTCGTCGTCGGGGCGTCCCTGGTGGACACGCCCTACGATCTGTACCAAGACTTGTGCAAAACGACGGCAGAGAGCCAGACCCTTGCGGTAGTGTTACACAGTGCTTTATGCTCCGCGAAAGATGCGTTTGTAAACAATCGCATGGGGGCGGATAAATTCAACAACATCCTCATTGCCGTTGGCATGTGGGTGGGGGTGAAGCACAAACTATTACCTCACGTTGTCTTCGGCGAATATGATTCCGCGGCCCTCGAGACATTCCTTCTCGACGTGAGCGATGGCAGTTTCCGACAAGAGCTCCTGTCGTTGGCGGAGCAGGAGCCAGGTGGCGACGTGACGGACCTCCAGTTGTTGACCGATTGGGTTATCCAGCGAGTCGGCGCGCTCGCGGCGTCGCAGCAGCGGGCGAGCGAGGTCGCGACAGCAGCGGCCAATGGCAGTAGCGCGGCAGTTTTGAGTCGAGACGAAGTAGATCAGATCAATCAGGTGCAACCCATGGCAGTTGTCCTTTTGGGCGCACACAATTTCGAAGAGGCCGCTGGGAAGTTGAAGGGGGGCAATGATGCTTTGGAACAGAGTTGGAATGCGAGGCGCAAAGCTCATGTCCAGGACGTCCAGGCCGTCCAGAAAGAGATGCAAAACATCGACGTGCACATGGATATCGAGGCAGGCGTCATCAGTAGTCGTAAATTTCAGTACGTTCGTGACGCTGCCGTTGGCGCGAAGAAGCATATATCAAGCCTCCAGAAGTTTTACAGTTTCGTGGAAAAGGAGACCCTGGTCATTTCAGTGTACCAGTTGTTCTTCTTGGGCACTACGAAAAAGCTCGCCGTAGAGCAGATGCGGGCAACGCTCGATTCAGCCCCGGGCATCGCCTTCGTAATCTACCCCCGGCTGCCGAAGAACGCGCGGCGCACGACGAAAAGGGGGGCAACCGTGGAGGCGGAACCTGACCAGGATTTGGACGATGAGTTCAACGATGTCGACGGTGACGGCGAGTTACCAGAACTCCTCAGCCTGGAGAACATGGCCACCACGAACACCGAGCTCACCGCGCAGCTCACGTGGGACCACTTCGAAGTCGAAGACGTTCTCCTGTCGAAGCGCGCCGATGACAAGGAATTGCGTTTCCTCAAACGCGTGAGCTTCACCCTGGCGAATTCCACTTGAACAGTTCAAGCTCTCGTGATCGCGCCCAGGCAGGACGTCGACGAGGAGCTCCTCTCCACCGCGCTGCTATCCAGCGGCATCTACGGGAACATTGCGATGCCCGACGCGGTGAGCTGCGCGAGGAAGGCAGCCGCGGGCGCTCGCAGAGCAATGGTGGACGGTTACGCATGGGAGGTTGATCCAGCCACGAAGAACGCGCGCACGCGGTCCCGGAAGACCCAAGTGAGCGAATCTTTCCACGCCGCTTGGCTGGCCGACATCATCGAGCACAGCGCCAGGAAAAAATACATCATCGTCCACGATCCCTCATGGGCGTTGGGACCTTGGCATGTGCTGCGGTGCGCGCCAAGGTGTCAAAGGCGGCGATGGAGGACGGCATCCGCGTGTGCTACATCGGTAAAGAGTTCCAACGTGGGTTGTGCGACATCGCCCGTGCGCAGACATTTTCCCTCGTGGCCAACTTGTACTTGTCCAAACAGCTGACTCTCGAGCATCGCACGCTCGTGCCAGACCCAGGTGAGAAGCCGAACAAAGGAAAGAGGATGGTCCAATCGATGCTCTCGGAACCGTTGAAAATTCTGACATTGAACCCGCGGGGGGAGCTCGCGATCCCGAGCGACGAGCAACTTGCAAAGCATTACCGTTGCACCATGAACGAGGAGATGCGTGCTAAATTTGCAGATTTGCGCATGGAGTTCCCGCATGCGCCAGAACAACCTGGCCCAGACGGCAGCCCCCCGAAAAAAAACAAAGGACGGGGGAGGGGCCAGGGGGTGCCGACAAGGACAAGGAAGCGCCCCCTGGCAGCTTGCCGTTGGCACAGGACAGTGAACGCGGCGATGAGAAGGTTGCCGTTGGCACCTACGCTGCCAGTCGCGATGAGCTGAAAAACTCGTTCGGCGAAGAAGTGGCTGCGCAGCGCAACGTGAGCGACAAGATTCGCCTCGTCCTGACCAAGACGCAGGCCGCATATCCGCCGTTCCGCCTGTGGCTCGAGGCGTATGGACCGCAGAGCGTGGCGCTCCCGCCAGGCACATGCGTCTGGAAGGGCGGGGCAGGGAAGTTCTTCTCAACTGCGCAAGGAGACCTCGCGGAAGAAGAACAGGCGAAGGCATGGGCTTTTACCAGGACCACCAACTACAAGGGCGACGCGCCGAAAACGGCCAACGGTAATTTCGTGCTCGTGAAAGGGGCAGGGGCAACCGCCGTCGAACCGAAAATGAAGACGCTCAAGAACATCGAGGCAGAGCTAGGACTCAATGTGAAGCTGTGGGGCCATGCAATTTCGCGCAAAGCCAGCGACGTCACCGTGGCGCCTGGGGCCGTCCAAGTCTATTGGGTGCCCGCCGCGAGAACCACGGAGGATGCCGTTGGCTCCGACTTCCAGGGCTTCTCGAATCTCTCCATGTGCACTTGGCTTCCGTCGTCTGAGGAAGTCGCGAAGAAGAAGAAGAAGTGCGAGATCGCGGGTTTGCTGCGGCCTGCCTTCGAGGTCCACCTGAAAGAAGCCGGTATGGACAAGAAGCTGGAGCCCATCTCCACGGCTGGCGCCAACCCGATGTGCCTCTTCGCGACCGAGCGCTTGGAGTTCCGTCCATCTCAGCTGCGTGCCCTGCACTGAGTAGGGCGCGCCACCTTGGCGTTGGCATTGCCGCGTCGGTGGCGGTGGCCATTGTTGGCGTTGGCATTGCCGCGCCGTGCCCCGCACGGTTCTCAGTTTGCGGTTCCTTGGTCAGTTCACGCTTTCTTGCGGCACCGACGCGCCCGTGAGTGGCCACGGGGCGGGTTTACGAGTGGCCGCGGGGCGGGCCACCAGGAGGTTCGACGCGCCCGGGGTTTGGCCCGCTACGCTGTGTAACATTCTCGCTTACTGTGCGCTTGCGCGCACTCAGAACGGCCTCGTCCCGATTTTGTTGTGTGTCTCAGGTGCAGACGCGGAGTCGCCAGATCGAATGCTCCTGCCTATATTGAGTTAGTAGATGCAGCACTCTTGTCGCCTTCTCCAGTTTTTCTCTTTCGAGCCGTTCGGAGCGTGAACGTGGGCGGCGGCCCCGAGCGATCGCCGAGGCCCACCGAGGGCTCCCAGAGCAGCTCGGAGCGCCTCGTGGAAGAGATAGCGGAAAAGCGAGAGAGAGAGAGAGAGAGAGAGAGAGAGAGAGAGAGAGAGAGAGAGATCGGACAAGTAGGCGGACCAGGGTCCGTCCGCGAGGCGCACTGCGGTGCGACAACTCGCATGCACTATTTGCGGCGGTGCAGCCTTTAGATACGAGGGCGGGCAACAAAAACCCCCTCCCCCGGCGCAGTGCGACAGACGCTACAGACGGCGGACAGACGATGATGATCTCACCTGTCAGACCGCGTGAGGAAATAGGCCCCAACAAGAAAGGCGACGTGCTGACACGTGGCTAGGCGGCTTGGCAGACCGCCAGTTGGGCGCTTGGCCGCTAAGCGGCGCGCAGTGACGGGGCACCCCCCGCCCCCGCGCCCTGACACCGTGGACGCGGAGCCACGCGTACACACGGGCAGGCAGAAAGGAGGAGATTAGCGCGGGGCACCAGGTGGAGCGCCGCGGAACGATGACAGCATAGCTTGGATGGTGAGTGACGGCACGGCACCATCGGGCGAGGCCGTGAGCAGCTCGGCAAAGGCTCGCCCAGCGCTGTGGAGGCGCTGGAGTAGAGGGCCTTGACGAGCTTGGGCGGCGGCGAGGTCCGCGGCGAGAGCTAAGCACCTCTGCTGGAGAGCAGCCATAGCCTGTGACAGCTCGGTTTCGCGGTCGGTGAGGGGTGGCTGCTCAGTGCCAGCAGCCGAGAGCCTCGAGACAGAGGCGAGGTCCTCGGTACGCCTGTCCAAATGGTGGACTAGCGTAGTGCGGCACCCTGTACGCTGTCGTCCGTCACCCTTGAAGGGTGACTGGAGGGGCACACGCGACCCCAGGGCTGGAGCCGCTAGGGCCACGCCCCGAGAGGTCGGGAGAGCCGCTTCCTCTCGCTCAGCAACGATGGAAGCGTGGACGGGGCACGAGGGCCTGTCTGGTTTAGTGCCCTGCGGGGGGGCTGAAGCCGCCCCCGCGGGCTGCCGGCGGTGGGGGGGCGGAGTGGTTTGCGCGGTGGGACCAGTCATGATGCCGTGCAAGGGCTCTGAGGTCGGTCGCGTAGAAGGTTGGCGTCTCGGTAGGGCGGCATGGTCGGCAGCGTGTGGTATCGGCGGTGCGTCCTCCATGCCACTCAGTCCGCGGGGGTCACCCAGGTCGTGGTCGGCGTCTTGGCGGTGGCCGATATCATCGTATGTGGGCGATGTCGCTCTCGGGGACGGAGTCGCAGTAGGGATCGAGAGGTTGCCCGACGGGGCAGGGTTTTCGCTGGCTGGTCCGTCGTCCAAAGCGTCCGATCCCCCACCGAAGCTGAACAGGTCATCCTCCTGTTCGTCAGCGTCTTGAAAATGAGCGGCGTTGTCATGTGGGTGCGCTGCCGCTCTCAATGGCGGAGTCGGGGGCGCCGTGCGGGTGCCCGACGGGCAGGGTTGGCGCTGGCTGGCCCGTCGCCCAGGAAGTCCAGGCCCCCACCAAAGCCGAACGGGTCGTCCTCCTGTTCGTCGAATATCGCCCGTTGGGCCTCGGCCCAGAGCTCGTCCGGGTTCTGTGGGATGTCTGGTCCAGCCGCGGGTGGTGCCTGGTCAGACAGCAGGGGATTTGGTTCCATTTTGTTGAGTTCCGCAGCTGTGAACCCAGCCCTGCGGTGTGGGAGGGGGAGTGTACGGTGTCTACGCTCGTAGATGGCGACAGCGACTCCATGAAGCACGGTCGCTTGGCGATGTCGTGTTTTGGCAGCTTCGACAATGTCGTCTGGAAGGTTATGAGTACGTGCCGCCGTTGTGGCGAGGGCGTCAGCCTGACGATTGAACTCCTCCGCGATGGGCCCGATGAGCCCGAGGTCGATGCCCATGTCGCCCAGGTGGCTTGCGATTTTCTCGACGCGGAACATGTTGGGCTTGGCCATGACGCATCGGTGGATCTTTTCCCAGAGCTCCACGTGCGTGCCCTGCGGTGGTGAGTGTCCGTCGATGATCCTTTGGAACCCATCAACCACCGCCTGGTTGTCCACGAAAACGTGTACGGGCCGTTCAGCACATGCCGTGAGGTGGACAATGGCGAGGGTCTCCGCAAGCTGTGCGTTCTGCGTAATGCCGTGAACGCGTGCACTGTAGTTCATGCGGTGGTCGATGCCGTAGTAGACGCCGTAGCCCGCTCGTGCAAGCAATGGGATGGCTTGGTTGGTGCATGCACCGTCCGTGGCAGCGTAGACCCATGTCCAACCAGTGTCGTGGTCAAGGTAGGTGGTGTAGGAGTCCTGGGCTGAAGCCGCAGGATCTCCCTCAGGTGGGGGCCGCGGTATGGGCTGAGGTAGCGGGTCCCTCGCGAGGTCGGCCTGCAGGTCGAGGAGGGCTGGGTCTTCATCGAAGAGCCCGCAGTGTCTTGTGTGCGGCGGAAGACGGGCCCACTGCTCGTCACTGATGAGGGTGGTGAGAGGGACTCTTTCTCGGGCCCAGCACTTGCAGTCGCGGACAGTGTGCTCCTGAGTTTCCTCTTCCTCGTCGCAGTATCGGCAGATGGGGCTGGGGTCAGCAGACGTGTTTGATCGGGATCGTCGCTGTTGGGTGTGGTCCCCGCCCGACAGGTAGTTCAGGAGGAGCGCCAGCTGCCAGGCATTGCATTTGGCTGCTCCTTTCGTTCGGGCGAGCCACGTGCTGGCGAAGAGGTCGAGGCCCTGTCTGACAGAGGCCAGGTGTCCAAGGTCATGACGCCGTGGCTTGATCTTTCTCAGAAAGGCTCTGCGTTGTGAGGCTCGCAGCATGTGAAGGAAGGCGTTTTGGGGTAAGTTCAGCCAACTGATCTGACAGCCCCAGTCGTCGTACATGATGCCAAATGTGGGCCAGGTCCAACGGAGCTGCTGAAGCGTCTGGACAAGTCGTCCGACAGGTCCTCCCCCGAATAGGGTCTGGACATGGTGTTGGAGATCCCTGACGAGACCGCAGAGAGTAGCGTCGCGGTTAACCTGTCGCCGCAGACACAGGAAGACTTCACGCTGCGTAATGGCGTCAATCTCCAGGGCGTGTCCTGGGACGCACACGGCCATGAGAGTCCAAAACTCGACCCACCTGTTTCCCTTGGGGCGGATAGCCGCCTTAAGGGCATGGTTGTAGGCAGTTTTGACGGGGCCTGATGGGGCTTGAATGTCGGTGCCCGTGGTACAGACGCTGGCAGCAAGGGAACGGGCGTGCCGCGCCTTAATAAGCATCGGTGATGGGAGCTTGCCAATGCGCGGCAGGCGACTAGTCGCCCTGCGAACACGGGCGTCAGCGGTGGCCGTGAGGTTAAGCGCGGCTGGAGCCGGCGCTGCCTCGGCGTTGATGTAACTCCCGACGAGCTTGAAGGAGTCGACCACGCGTAAGGGCCGTTCCGCCAGAGTGAGCTGGGTAACGGCGGTGTGAAGCTCGTCGGTGAGCGCCCACCCCGCCACTTTGCCAGGGTGAATGCGTTGACCAGAAAATCGATCAAACTTGGCGGTTTCATCAAGAGATTTCTGCAACTCAGGCGCGGTGTGAGTAGTGGAGTTGCTGTCGTCAACAAAGGTAGTGCTGAGTGATCGCGGAACGTATCGATGCTGTCTCTTGGTCCACACACACATGAGCAGCTTAATGTCGTCCAGGGACCAAGAGCTTCCCTGGAGGTGACCGTTTGTCCTGGCCAGTTCCTTAGAGTACGCACCGTTCATGCGGATGTAGCGTTTGTGACGACTGTAGAAGTTTCTGCGGACAGTAACGATGTCTTGGGGGCACCCCGCGTGGAGCGCAAGGTTAAGGCAGATGTCCGTGATGAGGTAGTCGAAACACTTCTGTCGGTCCAGGGCAGCCCCAGCTAAGGGGAGGAGTAAGGCCCTGGCGTGTTCGATGCGCAGGGCAAGAGAGGTGCTGACGTCCCCAATGGTAGCTTTGGGGACAGCGCCAAAACTCGTGGCGTGGGTCCATCCTTTCCGCCAGTCCGTGAGGCTGCGGTAAGCTGGCGCTTCCCACGCATACATCCAAACGGAAAGCACCGAGAGAAGTCGTTGGTCCGTTGGGAGTTCGCCTCGGCCTTTTCGGAGGCACGGGTTTGGCACATGGAGGAGGGGTTCTGGGATGGTGCCAGTGCGTTGCATAGCGCGTAAGACGCTGGCAAAGAGGCGAAGAATGTCGTCGGGTAACTCCTTAGCCTCCTTAGTAGTCCAGCCGTCCAGACCCCCCGCGCGGCGCGGTGAACGGGTGCGAATAAAGTGGATGAGTTGGTCGTCGGTGAGGTGGAAAGGGGTAGCTGGTGATGGCGTAGGCAGCTCTTGTCGGTACTCGTCGTAGAAGTCAGCCCACGTCGGCATGGCTTCGGCGTCATGTCCAGCACGGGCACGGTACCTGCCCAAGATGGGCTCCCAGGTGTCGACCATGAGCTTAAGCATGTCCTTGGTGTTAGCAACAATGGCGTTGGCAGGGAGAATGTCGGGGACTTGCGCAGGTGGTGGTTCACGAGTGTGGTCTTCGTCGTTGTCCGTGTCGGGCGAACTACCGTCGCTGGGGCTGAAGCCGCCAGCT